GTGGTAAAGGCTTAGAGATGGTCAGCACAGCCTGGTCCTACCTAGGGGAGTTCAGCTCAGCCTAGAGCAAGGGGTGGCAGTGGGACCAGCTGTGGGAGTGGTGGGATAGATCAACGTCTAAGCCATGTGGGTCTCCTCGGTTTCTTTTCCCCTTAGCAGCCCACCATTTCTGGCCTGCTGCATACAGGGGCACACACACATGCCCAGCACATGCCCAAGCCCACATATAGCACACACACACAGGAGAGGGGCCCCGGGAGCTTGGGCTCTGGCCGGCCACACCAGGTCTCCCTAACACATGCTTTTTTCCTCCCCAACAGCCCCCCAAGCCTGATGACCTCTCGATTGTATGTTTCACAAGCGGTACGACAGGTAAGCGGTGGCATCCAGGTGCCCTCCTTGGGCAGCCTAGCTGATCGACTGCAGGGGCCTCCGGTGCCCTTTCTGGGAAATGCACCCAAGCTTTCCTGGGTCCTCCTCATTCTCCCCAGCTGAGGGTAGCTGACGGACAGTGCGTATTGTGAGATCAGGCCTGGGGAATTGGGATTCCCCAGAGGTGGGCTGAATGAGGGCTGACCGGCTGAGCCATGTGCAGGCGGAAGCACCCTTCTCACTGGGGTACAGCCTCACCCCTCTGCCTCCTGCCCTCAGATGGCCTTTGTGTCAGGGACTGGGGCAGGGGTGTAGAGTGGGGGTGTGGAGGCTGAGGGCCTAGGGCTTGCATCTTGTCTACCCCAGACACTGGGGAGCTGTGAGCCGGTCACTTGGCCCCATCACCAGCCCTGTCCTGGCTCGCTCCTAGGTGATGGGTGTTTGAAGGGGCTGAGTGGGGCGGGGCCGGTGTGTGAGCAAAGGTCGGGCGCGTGCTGTCCAGGTTGGGGTCGCTGCCGGGCGGTCAGGCGGTCGGGAAGACCTACTCCCCAGCGGGCGCCGACTGGCACACACGCATCCGCAGTGGCGGGAAGGGTCATGGAAGGGTTCTGCGTGGAGGCAGAGTGCACCCAAGAGCCGTGTGCCCCCGGCACAGCACGTGGCAGTCTGCAAGGCCCTGGTGCCCCTCAGACTGCGGCGAGGTGGGCAGGCAGGATGGGCTCTCCAGGGCACCGTCAGGACTTGCGCCCTGTCCTCCTGACTCCCAGTCCAGCCTCGGCCTCACCCTCTCATCTGGTGGCATCGAAAGCCATGTGCCCTTGTCCTAAACGAGCGAGAAGGGTCGACCCTTCCTTCTCCAGACCAAGCACTGCCCCAGCTTCGCGATGGCTCTTGGGCAGTGAGCTGCCCTTGCTCCATCCACGGTCCCAGTCCGCCTGATCACCCCCACGGTGGGACGTCACACCAAATGTGGCTCGACTCAACCCTGACAGAGCTCAGCCGTGTGAGCTCAAGTTGGCTAATCCACTCTGACAAACCCAGTCAGGCCAAGAGACGTGACCCAGCCCTGGCTCTCCAGGAGCTGACGTCAGAGCCGACCCAAGCCCTCAGACGGACACTGCTGTTTCTTTTTTTAATTAAATACTTGTATTGGAGGCTCTTACATCCTTATCACAATCCATACATTCTTCCTTCGAGACACTGCTTTTTCGTCAGAGCGTTTCCCATGATTGTTCTAGCTGGGTTATTTTCTCTTTTTGGTGGCATGTGCCTCCACCTGGGTTTGGAGAGAAGGACGCTGCTGTGACCTTTAGCTTTCACCCATGCCTGTCCAGAGTGTCCGCAGACTCTTGTAAGGGGTCTTGGTCACAGCTGCTGCTGTACCCTTGGAGAAGAGCTTCCCGATGCCCCACTGGAGGGCCGGCGCCTCGCCCTGCAGTGCCGTGCCAGACTGGAGACCCACGGTGAAGAGCTGAGCCTTCCCACCCAAGGTCTTTGTGGGAGAAGCAGAACGTGTGGAGCCTGGGGAAAGGTGATGAGGTGACCTCGCGGCATCCTCCCTCTCCCACTGTATGCCGGCCGGTGCCGGGGCCCAGCGGAGGCAGTGAGGGCCAGGGCACAGCAGGTCCCTCTCCTGCCAATACCCTGCCTGTCTGCACACGGGGCTCCTCTGGCTTCGGGCTCAGTCTGTGTAGTTCCTGTGCTCGCAGTGTGTCAGCCCCGTGTGTTCTCAGCCTCACATTTCCAGATGCAGTGTCCCTTCTGGCTCCTGGATCCCTCAAGCACTGTGCTGTTATTCCAGCGGGGAAAGATGGGAACTGCAATTGATCCGAGCCTGACATTGGGCCCATAGTTCTGGCAGCACCCTTCCAGGGACATCGTCTTCTTGGCATGTAGTGGGACCGTCTCTGGAGCTGCCCAGGAAAAACTAGTGCTCCCATGTCCCGAGCCAGGCCACGAAGGCCTGGGGCAGGGGAGAGCTTGGGGTCTAGACCTAGGAATAGCACGTGGGTAGACATGGGGTCAGCTGTTTGTTTCAAACTAAACTGAAGCCAGACGGGCTTTGAACCCCCTTCCCCCTCTCCTCCCGCCAAAAGAAAAATATAATTTATGGGTATACATACAAAAATATAATTTATGGGTATACATACAACTCAGTGTGGATCAGGCCCCAGGAATGATGGTGAAGACGTCCTGTCATTCTGCGTCTGAATGCCTTCTCTTCCCTGAGGAGAGCATGCAGTAGTCTTTTAAAGCCTTCTTCAGTCTGTCTAACTTATGTAGATGAGCCATTCAGTCATTTATGGAGCACACACCCTGCTGTCAGACAGGCCTAGCATGGGGGAGGGGCCCAGTCCACAGGGATGAGGGAGACAAAGCCAAGCCCTCAGAAGCACACAGCCCACTGTCAAGCAGGCCATTACAATGTGGTCCCTTCCTTGAGGGGTTTTGCGGGGTACTCAGCACCCAAGAAGTCGGGCCTGTAAGGATTCCCAGAGGAAGCGAATCCCAGCCAAGACCTGAAGCATCAGTAGCTGGCAGAGGAGGGTGCCAGGCTGTCTCAGCAGAGAAGAAACACGGGAGGAGACGGAGTGCAGTGAGGCAAAGCAGGTGTCTGTCTTCTGAGAGGTTCCAGAATAGAGCCTGCCACCATTGTTTGGTAACTGAGACCCACCCACTGGACATAACCACATCAACAAGAGTGCTTTGGGTGCTATTGGCAAGGGCTGGCCCTGACGTGGGGGTGAGGGTGGAGGCCAAAGCCTGGGTTGTAGTGGACTGATGACGGAATGGGAGATGAAGAAGTTCCTTCAGCAAATGGGGAATGGTCTCTCTCGAAGCCTACATTGTGTCACCAGAATGCTGGCTACAGAGTGGGTCCCTGGGGGACTAAAGACCAGGAGTCCCAGGGGCCACGTTGTAGGAGGAGCAGAGAGGCGGGCAAGTGGGTGGGCTGGGTAGGGTTTCAGAGAAGGGTGCTGGAGCACTTGGCAGGAGAATGGCTGAAATGAGGGACGCAGGAGGGTGAGGTGAGAGGAAAGATAGGAGGGGGAGGGGTTCACTGTACCAGCGAGCTGGCCCAGCCCATTCTAAACAGAGACAGCAGGGCTGGGCAGGCTGAGGAGGTGCAGGTTCTTACTATGGATGCTCCTGAATGCCAGGCTCCAGCACCCGGCAGCTGGCGCTGCTGAGAGGCGGGATCTCTGAGGAAAATGCTCACTGGGACCTATTCCTTTTACATCACTCATTGCAAAACATGTCTGATCGTATGCGTGAAACTACGTACATCTAGCTGTGTTCTAAATGTAGCTTTCCCACTTGTGCTGTGTGGTTTTAGGAGCATTAACTTACTACCCCTTTGAAATGTCAGTTTCCTTGGGTGTTCAATGAACACATTTCTTCACTCACACGCGACTGGGCTGCCGTGTAAGAAGTGTCGAGCATGGCACCCACACCCGGATTACCTGCTGTTGTCATTCTTTCTACAACTCTGAATCTGTTTTTAGAAAGGGGGAGAAAAGGATTTATCATGGTCGGTTTTAGGTGCAATAAGATGCAAATGAGAGTCATTTGTAAAGAAGAAGTGGGACTATTCATCTAGTGGGGAGGTAACATTCTACCTGCTCATAAAATGTTCAGCGCACTCGTCACTGTACATCTGCTGTCACACCCCTTTGACCGTGTGAAGGTGGAAACAGCTGCGGGAGCTGGGCAACCCCGGCTTTCATTCCTGCGGGAGGAAACCCAAGCTTGGCTTCAGCCCACAGCCAACCAAGGTGAGCTTTTTGCAGCACACCAACCAGGTATAACTTGCCCAGGACACTGGTTGAGGCCACAAAGCCATTTGCCAAATGACTTCAGCAACTGAAGAGCAAAATCAGATGCAAGGGTGTCAGCTTTGGAGCAGTCGTTGGGATACGCCTTGAGAGGTTGAGGGCTCTCACCGGAGAAGGAGCGACCAGAGGACGTGCTGCCACTGTGATGGCACAGAGGCGTCTACCAAAGTCTGCCTAGCCTGTTCCTTTCTTTGTCACATTCAAGAGCAATGCTGCCAGCCTGGCCAGAGGCATGAGTTGTCCTGAATCGGAGCAAGCAGAGCTGCTCCCAAGACTCACCTTGCACCCCTCACTTGGACATCTTCCTCCAGGATTTGTGGTTAACAGACACCTCCTTTGGGACCACTATTTTGAGATGACTTGGAAATACGATGTGAGGCTGCCCCCCAGGTAGCTAGCTATCACGATTGCTCAAGTCCATTACAGGCCAGCCTCCTCGTCTACCCTACCTCACTACTGCACTTGACTGGTCTGGGGGAGGAAAAAGACATGTCTGAGAAATGCTGTTTCATCCTATGATTAAATGTTAGTTATAAAAATTACAGTTACAGTCACAAGAAAACTGGGTTGTTTCTAAAAGATTTGAGCTCTCTGGCCAAAAGTGGCCCCAGTGGCACAGTGAGTTAAAATTTTGGGCTCATGACCTCAAGGTCAGTGGTTCACTCCCCCCTTTCCCCATCAGCACCCCCTTTTCTGAGGGAGCAACACGAGGCTGTGTGCTCCTGTAAAAACACAGTCTTTCAAAAACCCTGCTCTGTCTGACAGGGTTATTATGAGGTTGGAATGGACGTGCTGGCAGCGGGCCTCTAACCAAGCAGAATTGAATCACTCTAATGCTGCATGTGTTTTTGGCCTGAATGCGATGAAAGCTTTAGAAATGTTTCATAAATGAAGACAACTTTCTCTTGAGATTCTCAAACCATCTATTCTGAGGTTATTTTAGGCGTGAGCAAGTGGGCTAATAGAGCTAAAGCTCTAGCACAGGACCTCTGTTATGATCGTTCTGATGTCACACCTGGCGTTTTAGGACTGTTCTTGGAAGCTTCCAGAACGTGAGACTCCGCTGATGAAATTGCCGGGCAGCACTCTCAGAATACTCTGCTTTCTGGGCCCAGCAGTTTGCATAGAGGACATGACTCGGGGAAGTTTCTCAAGGTAGGCCGAGGATCCAAAAAAATCCTCGGATGAAATAAAGACAAGCAAAGGTGAAACACGTCTCATGTTTTCCTGCCTTTCAAAAGGAAAGTATTCTGACGGTGACCTATCGGGAAGTCTCGGAAGTTGTAAGATCGTGTAGCCCACCGCCACCAGAACGGCCTCTGTTTGCCACGTGGGTCTAAGTGCCACATGTGGCCATCAGAGAACTCAGGATGGGCCATTGCGAGTGCTCTCCTCCCTGACCAGTGGGACTGGTGACTGTTGTCACCAGTGAGACGGACAGACAGGTCACTTTCATGAGATGTAACTATGGGAGCAACTTGGTTTTTATCCTCTGTCTGCTCCACAGAACGTGTTCAGTGGGGATCGTCCTTTCTCTGTCCTCGGTTAAAACGCCGTGGTTTTATGACGTTGACGGCCACAGACGGTCTGAGGTCTAAGCCGCAAGGGTCCACCAAATGAGGCGGCGCCCTCCCCTAGGCTGGGCTGGCTGCCGGCAGGTGCCTGCTGCTTGGTGGGGAAGGGCTGGGCCTCCTGTCCTCTCTACTCACTGATGTGTCTCCTCAGCTTGCTAAGGGAGGGCTCTGCCCTCTCCCCCCGTGGATGAAGTGGGAGGGAGAATAGCTAAGTGAGATATGAAAGGTGATTCTGGGCAGATGTTTAAAGCTTACTCTCGCACCCATGGGTGTTTTCACAGGTCATTGAGGGGCTCCCCCACAGGGTGCCCCTCTGCCGTCCCTGATGCAGGTTGGGACCCTCCTTTGGTTGTCTAGATGCTCCCTATCCCACTTCACCTTAGACACCTCCCTTTATTGCCGCCTTCTGATGGCAAAGTACATTTCTGGGTGAGATTTCTACTTCCTGTACTGCTCCACTCCACCCTAGACTGTCTTCCTATCCAGACCCTCGGATTGGTATTTCCTTGCAGCCACAAGGGAGGTCTCTTCCTAGCCCAGCAGGTCCCCCAGCTACAGGGAGCACGCGGGGCTCTTCAAGTGATCTCATAAGAGTGTCTCTCCTTACCGTTTGAAGTGGCAGGTTGCAGTTGGGAACACCCTCCATTCCTTCCCATTCAGTGGAATGTTGGACTCAGGTTAACTCCGTCTAAAGACGACTTTCGCCTTCAAATACTCAATCTAGTCTCCTAACCTTTGCCACAGCCTCCTCCTGAGTGAAGGTAGCAAGGTTACCATACTAGGTTAGTTGGTGTTTTTTCCAGGATAAATTCTGCCTTGGGTCTAGTCACTTTATAGGTTCACAGGTATATTCAAAACTTCCCATTTAACATATGTAATACATACATACATCTTTAAAGGTGGGTGTCATTCTCCCTGTTATACAGGTAAGGAAGCAGAGGCGATGCTACACTTGCCAATGATGCCATCCGGAGTGGTAACGCTAGGATGGGAGTATGGCTTGCCCAGTGTTGTGTCCACCCTGACACGAACTGTGGCCAAGCTGGCCTCCTTCCTTCCCAGCCAGGGCTTCCCACAGGGCCTTTCCCATCTGAGTCTCACTCTCAGCCCCTAACTTCCTCACAGACCTTGAGGATCAGACTTCATGAGCAGGATTGAAGGTCCTGCCAAGACCGTAACAAGATTCAGCTCTCATCTCTGCCGGTGGCAGGCAGGAGGGCCCTTTGCGGGGGCTTGAATGCTGCAGAGAAACCCTTTGCCGCCAGAGTGCCTTCACTGGAAGACTGGAGAACGCAGCCGAGGTCACAGGGTTTACAGGAGCCTGTGCCCCCGGGGGATTCGGGAAAACAGAGGCGATGGCACCTGCCTCCTGAGCCCAAACTGCTGGGAGCCTCATGCTGGGCTGCGCACTGGCAGGATGGAGGTCCCGGAGCAGCCTCCTTCTGCCCACTGTTGTACCGGTGGCTGAGGACCGAGGACCAAGGCTTTGGTGGGCAGCGATTGATGCCTGGGCCTGCTCACGAGGGCAGGACCCGCAAGGAGTGAGTGGCCTTTGAACTCCCCACTCACTTGCTCTTCACTCTCTCTTCAGGGAACCCGAAAGGCGCGATGCTCACGCATGGAAACGTGGTGGCTGATTTCTCAGGCTTTCTGAAAGTGACCGAGGTGAATATGGTGGACACCCTGACTCCGCCCCGAGGTTTTCCTCTCTGTTTGTCTCCTGATTGCATGGTGGCTACCTTTCACAGAGCAGCTCCAGTTTTTCAACGCACTTTTCAACCCAAACACGGAGAGGATAAATACCTGATTTATATTCAGTTGCTTTCCCAGAGTGCTGATGTCATGGGGTGGGGGTGGGGGGTCCTGGACACACCCATCAAAATGGAATTTTCACTTTTCAGTTTGAAAATTAATGTGTTGTTAGGTGGTGCCGTCCAGCCGATTCTTTCAAAAGTAATCCCTGAGAATCTTTGTTTTTTAAAATTGGTCAGGGGTTAATTCAATCAGGCTTTATGAAAGGAATAACAGAATCTGAGAAACCGTGACCGGTGCTAATTTTATGAGGCTATCCTTAAAGGTAAATGTGAAAATGAATTAAAAGCTTGATATTTTGTCCTGGAAAAAAAAAAGCATGTTACTGTTTTATAATGGACTAAGAAACCAAAGGACTTTTGCCCCAGAAGTGGTGAGTATCAGAAATACCCTGTGGTTTCCCTCAGGAGAGCAGAATGCGCTTTTTAAATGCAAGTGGGACTTTTTCCCATGTCGGGGATTTATTTCCAACAGTCATGCTAGATGATGTTAAGGAGTCCGGGTCCCAAACCGGTAAGCATTCCTGCAGGAAATGCCCAGAGCGAGCTGCCCCTGGGCCCGGGCCAGGAGCCAGGTCTTCGGGGCTTGCACAAGCCCACCCCAAAGGCATCCCAGGAGAATGGAAGACTATTTAAAAGTGGGGAGGGGTGAGCTGGGATGTGGGGTGTCTAGCACAAGAGAACTCCCAGAGACCCGGGCCCAGCCCTGAGCCCAAGCTTTGTGCAGGAAGGGCTCCCCACCCCCCCCCCCACCACCACTGAGACCACCACTTCTTCCTTGGAGTCTTGGCCACTCAGCCATCCCTGCTTGGGGCTCAGACCCCAGCCACAGCCAGTGTAGGCAGCAGCTTCCTGCACCCCTTCCTCTGGAAGCAGCCGAGATCTGTGCAGGTGGCCCAGGGAGGTTGGTGAGATGGAGCCCCCCGGGGTGGGATGCTGCAGCCCTGGGTGGGCGGGGAGAGAGCCCAGCTGGCGCCAACGGCAGAGACTTCCCTGCGGAGCCCAACTCCGCTGGTTTATGTGTGCTTCATTTGGCTCTTTGCTTCTGCAGATAACCTAGACCCACTGGCGCTGCGACCTAACACTCCGCTTCCTCGGCTGCCCTTTCTCTGTCTCATTCTTCTCTGTGCTTTCCACCTTCCCCCCCCCCCCCCCCTCCCTCTGTTTCTCTCTGTCTCTCTCTCTCTCTCACATACACACACACATTCTCTCTCTCTGGCCCTCCCATCCTGCTCACCCCCTTCCTGTGTGCCCCTCCAGGACCGTTTTCTCTTTATTGTTTGATGATTCTCTCGTCGTCGTCTTCCTGTGAGTGTTTCTTTCCTTTCTGTCTCCCATGCTCGTCACCTGCAGAAAGTGATCTTTCCGAGACAGGACGATGTGCTCATCTCCTTCCTGCCTCTGGCGCACATGTTTGAGAGAGTCATCCAGGTAAGACGCCCGCCCGACTGACCGGGCCTTGCCTGGGCTCCTTCTCTTTTCTTGCAGAGTCAGTGGGCTCCCACTTATGCGGATGTGCACATTTCCTATTTGCCTTTAGCACACATGTTTGAGCGAATGGTGCAGGTAAGGCCCTGGCATCAGGGAGGCGCAGCCTGTGCCCGCAACCCATAACCTTAGCCGGTGTCATCGGTGGCCTGATGTAGAACTAAACTACCCTAGCCTGAGACGGGAGGCAGAGGGATCAGAGCACCTTGGGCACCTCTTGGGAGCATGGCCATCACCCGGCCCTGCTCCCCTGGGACATACCTCAGCTAGCTGATGGCATCCACCGGGAGAACATTCGCAGCTCCGCAGAAGCCCAGTACGGTGTGGGCTCCGTGTATGGACCACACACTGACGTTCCGTAACTTCCATAGCTCAGTCTCCTAAAGAAGAAAGTGGTAAAGCCGAGAAACCAAACGGCACGGCTCTTCAGCCGGAGATGAGACTGGCGTTGTATGTAGCCATGAGATGACCTTGTGGGGCACAGAGGCTCTTGGGCGGAGCAGCCTCCCGAGCATAACCAGTTGGTTGCCGGACCAGAGAGTGCTTCGTGCTTGTGTCCCTCCGGGGCCCAGCCAGTCCATGAACTCATGTCTTTTCTGCTTTGCCCTCGGCGTGGTCTGGTATTGTAGGCCAAGGCCTCCCAGGCCTGGATTAGGATGCCAGCAGTGACTGTTAACTAACCAGATGGCTCTGGGCAAATCCTTCCACCTCTCTGAACGTTGCGTTCCTTGCCTGCAGGGATTGGAATACTACCTCTTTCATAGAATCACTGTCCATTAAAGAAGAGCCTGGGTATCTGGGTATGATGCCCCTGGAGCGCTCCTGGCCCCACTAGGAACCAGCCAGGCTTCCCCTTGGCTTGGCTCCCAAAAGCATCTCTGCCAGCTCTAACCACAGCCCGTGGCACCTCTCAAGTCGTCCCTCTCCATGACTGAGCCATGCCTGCAGTCCCCATAGGGGCTGCACACCCTCTCTGAGGCTGGACCAGGCTGTTCAGTGGGGTGCAGAACCGAGCAGAGATACGGATGCCCAGGAGGCCCAGGTCCAGGGTTTGGCTGTTCTGGCATCTCACCAAACTTGTGATTCCCCGAGATCCTCTAGTTCTTCTCCCTGTGCCTGTGTGGGACTTGGGAGGAAGGTCATGGAGCTGAGGGCTCCCTCAGACGGCCTTCTCCCGTGTCTCGTAGCAGCAGCCAGAGCTGGCCGAGGGGGTCATTGTGCCCTCCGTGCAGGGCAGAACTTTGAGGGTTCTGGACCACAGCCAGGAGTGGCCGCCCTGAGGGACTCCCCTTCCTGTTCTCTCCCCCAGTCTGTTGTGTACTGCCACGGAGGGCGCGTTGGCTTCTTCCAGGGAGACATCCGCCTCCTGTCTGACGACATGAAGGCTCTGTGCCCCACCATCTTCCCAGTGGTCCCACGGCTGCTGAACCGGATGTATGACAAGGTGAGAGCCGAAGGAAGGGTCTAGCCTGGCCGAGGGGCTGCAGGCCTGCTTTTCTGGGCAGAGTCTGGCCAGGAGGTGGCACAGTTGGAGCCCAGGCCGGGCTTTCGAAGCCCTTACCACCAGGTTCTGGAAATTGCCTTTTCTTGGGGCAGGCGGGGGTGGGGGGAAGTAGGAGGAGCGGTGCGCCATGCAGCCCAACAGGTGTTTTCAACTTATGCTCCTCAGATCTTCAGCCAGGCAAACACGCCACTAAAGCGCTGGGTCCTGGAGTTTGTGGCGAAGCGTAAACAGGCCGAGGTCCGCAGCGGAATCATCAGAAATGATAGTATCTGGGATGAACTCTTCTTCAATAAGATTCAGGTAAGAAAACTAACAAGTGCTTCACCTAAGCGGCCTGTGGATGATCTTCCTGGAGCACTCGAGAAGTTTGTTCTAGGGGACTGTAATCTCGTCTCTGATCCAACACGTTGCATTTATGACAATACTGAAAAATCTGCCAACTGTTTTGTGCGTGAATGACCTGTGCCTGACAGTAGCAAATGCCAAGGCGCAGGGCGATAGTGTTGCTGACTCTGACATTAAGGTTGTGCCTCATCTCAGCTGGGCCATGGTTCCTAGTGGTTGGCCGGTTATGTAAGGATGCTATAGGACAATATAATTTGTACCAAAGTTTCTTTATCCATTCTTCTACTGGATAGAAATAGCCTTTGGGCTGTTTCCAGCTGCTTGCTGTTGTGAACGGCTGCTATGAACGTGTTCATGTTCCTTCTCTTACTCCGTGGGGGTATGTGCCCAGCAGAGGTATTGCCAGCTCATATGGTATTGCTTTTGCCGGTTGTTTTTAGGTATTGCCACTTTGCTTTCCACAATGATTGTGTATATTTACAAATCTACTGTTTTAGTCTGGGTGGTCTAGAGAAACAAATCTAGGGAGACTCGTGTATAAGAAAGAGCTTTATATAAAAGACTAATTGCATATTAAGAAAACATCTGGGCCCAGTCCAGATCAAGTCCATATGTCTGATATTAGCTCATATGTCCGATACCAGTCTGTAGATTCCTCTTCAGACTCATGCAGCACATGTAATGACATTGAGTGCCGGAAGATCACAGGCCAGTGGGTGGATCCAGTGGCGGTGGAAGCATCTTAGTGCTATCAGGGGTCTCCACATGGCTCCTTCAGCTCCAAGGTTCTCGCTGCCATCAGCATAGCTCCATGTGGCTTGTCAAAAGAAATGTGTAGCAGAGAAAGTGTGTCCCACCTCCAGGGAGGAAGACAGGAGTTCCTAGAATCCTCAGGAGAAAGCCGTGTCCACTAAGAGGCATCATTGGCTTTGACCTGATTGACAGGCTAGACTCCACCCCTTCTCAAGTTGACAGATTATGTAACTGCCACATCTACCAATAGTGCGCAAGAGTTGCAATCTAGCTGCACCAGCTGTTCTCAACCTGTGGGTCACGACCCCTTTGGAGGTCAAACGACCCTTTCACAGGGATTGCCTAAGACCATTGGAAAACACATATTGCTGATGGTCTTAGGAACCAAGACACCGCTCCTCTATCCTTCTCCAGGTGGGTCCACCCACATGCAGATATATACCCATATATAAGTACCCAGTGTGAAGACTGTCACCCATGCTACATCATGCTTCAAGACAAAATTTCATTTATTTGTAATTAGAAATAAATATTTCACAATATATAATGATATATTGTTTTGTGATTAATCACTATGCTTTAATTATGTTCAATTTGTAACAATGAAAATACATCCTGCATATCAGATTTTTACATTACTATTCATAACAGTAGCAAAGCGATAGTTATGAAGTAGCAGTGCAGATAATGTTATGGTTGGGTGTCTCCACAACATGAAGAGCTGTATTAAATGTTTGCAGCATTAGGAAGGTTGAGAACCACTGAGCTGCACCCTCTCCAGCATGTTGTTGTTGATTGGGCTGTTGTGTGCTGATGTGATTTGGCAGCTATATAAAGGATGCAGTTACCCTCCATTTCGAGACCCGAGGTGGTGATTCTCCATTTCAGTTATGCTGATTGTTGCACAAGGCCTGGTATTTGGGACCTGCCCACGTCCATCAGTGAGGTGTGGCTATCGCGGCTTATTCGCTCTAGAACATCAAGGCTTCAGTGACCATTAAAATTTCAGCTCTGTGGTGTTCTTCAGAGATGAGTTATATTTGCCAAGAGGCAGCCAATCAGAAGGACCATGATCTTCCCCGGCATCTGAGGCAGCTTGGCCCTTTTGGTCAGGTTAATGCTCCACCAAGAAGCTCCTGGGTCCTGAAGAGTCCCTTGTCCCTTCCCTTTCAAGCAGCATTAAGTTCTAGCCAGATGGGTGGGAACCTTCCTTTCTCTTCCTGTCGCCTGTCCCTTCAGTCTTTCAGAAACCAGGTCAATCATGAATTTCTCATTTCTGGAGAGCCCCACTCTGCCGTGCCCCAGGAATCTGTAGTTAATTAGTAATATTACTTGTTTTTCTTGCTACTCTATTTTTAGTTATAAAAAATTAATGTTTAAACTCTCTTGGCTCAACTTACAGAAGCAAAGTGTTTTAAGTATCTTTGTTCTCTGCAGTGCATGGTAAATAAATTAGGATACTGATTTAGACATGAGAAAAGGAAAAGACAAAAAGGTGGGGGAGCAATACCATTAAAATAGAAGTTAGAAGGAATTGTCCTAAGTAATTTTTTTGGATGCTTGGGAATGATGGGAGAATGAACTGTGCATTTTAAGGATATTCAAAATTATGGAATACCACCCAGGTTAATGACACTTCTCTCAAGAGGGGCTCATGTTGTGCATTTAGGAATTTGGGGAGAAAGGACTTGCTCAGCTCATGTGATGTGCTGCCAGCCTCAGCCCTCTGTCTGACCCCAACTCTAGGGTCCAGGTTGGGTCTAATTGCTGCACATTGACTGTGGATGAAGCAGAGGTGGCCTGGGCACCCTCTCAAGAATTGTAACCTTTGGCAGGCACTTCTCTCTTTCCACAGGCCAGTCTTGGTGGGTGCGTGCGAATGATTGTCACTGGAGCGGCGCCCGCATCACCAGCAGTCTTGGGATTCCTCAGAGCAGCTCTGGGGTGCCAGGTATTCTCCCTATGTGGCCCTCCCTGGGGATGATGGGAATATGTGTTAGGGCTAGGCCAGGCTAAAAAACCATGAGACCCTGTACTACACAAGCAAAAACTCTAGGAGCAAGATTTTCCCTTCTTCCTCCAAGAATGGAAAAGCCCCGTTGCTGGTGAAAGCCAAGATGACCGTGCTTTGGTTAGGAAAGCTCATGAGTGTCGACACGTGGTGGAATACCTTTACGAGGGCCCATGGGAATTTTCAGCATCGGGCAGAGATCGGGTAAAACTGTACATGAGCCATCAATGTGCGGCAGCACCTGTACCTGTCTCGTGCTGCCTCTCTACCCCCTCCAGCCTGCAGAAGCATCTCCTACCCTCAGGACTCTGGGGAGACAAGAGTTGCCTGTTGTCACAGGATCCAGCAGGATTTGCTCTTTAAAAGTCCACTGTTTTGTTTATCCATTCAATTAATACTGACTCACCTCCTACAGGTGCATGGTACAGTTGTGTGGCTGCAGGTAGTGGGTTTTGAATAAATGTGTTTCATAATTGTGCACGCTTGACTATTTATGCTTTCGAGGCCCTGGGCTTCTTACACTGCCCTCCCAGGCCCTACCAGGATGGCCTTACTGCCCCCAAAGACAGGCTGCTCACTTGTGCCTTTATGTAAGCAGGTAGTGTGGGGGCGGGGTGGGGGGGGGGCAGGGATCTTGGCAAGATCAAATAACATGCACAGTGGATTCTTAAATACTTATTTTTAGTGCTTATTATCCAAATGAATAATAGAGCCAATGGCCAAAAGCAAGTCCACAGCCGTTAAAGGACGTGACATTGAAAATTGCACTTCTTTCAAGTAAAGGTGTGGCCATGCTTCTTGTCCGTGTTTCACTTTGCCTGAAGTGACCTCCCTCCTGAGGTGCTCCCCTCCCGATATTCCCAGCACGGGCAGTCCGCTGCTCGGCAGGAGGCCGGCCGCTTGAGGAGGGGGTTTCTGTGTCCACTGTGGCATTTCTGTGTTTTGTTGGAAGGTTTATGAAGGTTACGGCCAAACCGAGTGCACAGCTGGATGTACCTTCACCACCCCCGGAGACTGGACCTCAGGTAGGCTGGGCTGGAGACGTGGGACTGGGCCACAGGGCACGTGAGAGGGAACAGGAGGCTCCAAGGTGCCTTCATGGGTTTCAGCAAATTCACTCGGGCATTTATTCAAAGCAACAGAGATAGAAGAAAAGTCTGAGCCGTGGGCGTGTCTGGGTTGTGGCATTACAGAGCTATTGTTGTCTTTGTTGCACTTTGTTGTTGTTGTATTTTCCTATTTCTTTGTAGGCAAACTGAAGTGACATGAAAGGAAAATGTAATAGACCCCAAGATGCAACCCCAGGTGGCAAAAATGCGTGGATTTTTACAGATTTCAAATACCACACAACCTATGTACCTTCTGTTTTGAGTGAAGCAAGTCTGAGTGGGTGTGAATTGGGAATGAATGTAAAAGAGAGGCAGCTTTACAGTGGTTAGGGCACCACTTCTTAAAGGGCCATTTCAGAGGTCCTTTGGGAGCCCTGGTAGCACTGTCATGTAAGCCTTAGGCTGCTAAGCACAAGGCCGGCGGTTCAAGCCCACCAGCTGCTCCATAGGAGAAAAGGGAGGCTGTCTGCTTCTGTAAAGGTTCACAACCTCAGAAACCGTATGTAGGGTCACCATGAGTCAGAATCGACTCGATGACAGTGGGTTTGGTTTTCGGTTTAGTATGAGGAAGCCCTGGTCACTTGTGACATTGGTATCAGTGAAGGTGGCAGCAACCCCCGGAAGGAAGAGCAGCCACTTGTTGTCTCATTCTGGGGAGATTAATCTTGCCAGGGCCAAGGGGAAGCAGTGAGTGAATGGGTCATGGGTCATCAAATTAGATCAAACTCTAGAAAAATCTCAATACCATTCCATGAAAAAAAAATCTATATTCTGCCAACTTCTTGGGACTAACCTTTGTGCTTTGGTTTGCTCTGTGACAAACCGGAAATTTGTGGATGATGTTCATGCACAAGATGTGCATTCATGAATGCATTCCTGTCTTCAAAGGACCCCGAGGCAGGCAGCCAAGACAGGCGAGAGAGGTGAATTCTAAAGTGGAAGAATATTTAGCTGCATTTAGCCCAGAAACTTTTTTTTCTGCATTTGATATAGCTGAACTCTAGATAAGCAAAGCCTATTTTACATGTCAGTTCTTTGATTTCTCTACCACTGGGAAATCTACAAAAGGGGTTGTCCTCTGAAGTCCTGACTCACCAACTTTTCCCTCACTGCTGCCTGCCCTCCTCCTTGCTTCCCTCGTTTATGTGCCCCCTTTCTTGTTTATCATTTTATCAGGGGCACATACAACGCTTATCACAATCCATACATACATCAATTGTGTAAAGCACATTTGTACATTCATTGCCCTCGTCATTCTCAAAACACTCACTCTCCACTTAAGCCCCTGGCATCAGCTCTTCATTTTTCCCCCTCCCTCCCCACTTGCCCCTCCTTCATGAGCCCTTGATAATTTATAAATTATTATTTTGCCCTATCTTACACTGTCCGGCGTCTCTCTTCACCCACTTTTCTGTTGTCCCTCCCCAGGGAGGAGGTTATATGTAGATCCTTGTAATCAGTTACCCCTTTCTACTCCACCCTCCCAGTATCGCCACTTTCACCACTGGTCCTAAAGGGATCATCTGCCCTGGATTCCCTGTGTTTCCAGTTCCTATCTATACAAATGTACATCCTCTGGTCTAGCCAGATTTGTAAGGTAGAATTGGGATCATGATAGTGGGCAGGGAGAAGCATTTAGGAACTAGAGGAAACTGGCTAGTCTCTTCCCCGCAACCTTTCTGTAAGGGATGTCCAATTGCCCACAGATGGGTCTCCCATGTACCCCCTTTCTTCTGGACACTTCCCTGAGGCCGCCCTGTACATTCCTCTATGCAAGACTTTGGAAGGTCTGTCTTTTCAATGTGTCTCGAATAAAAAATTCTGAAAAAACCAGTAGGTCCAGGGGGCTAGCCCCTTGGGTGCGATGCTATGTGGAAGGCTTGGCCGGCTCTTAAGAGAAGCCATTAGCCCTCAAACCTAAACAGTGGTCTGAGTGGCTTCAAGAAAAGTGGAGGAGAGTGACACTGAAATGGACTTGGAGTCTTGCGACAAACAAGTTCACTTCAAACAATAACCCAAAAAGAGAGAGAGAGAGAGAAGCCAGTGGGTACCACAGCCTGGGTTCCAGATACCGTAGCTCCCTTTTCTTTCAGGACCTTGGTCAGCACCTGGGTGGAAAACTTCCAGTTTGCCTGTAAAATATGGAGCAACCACAAACAGTAACTAGAAGATGACTTGCGTGATGTGCACAGTACTAGGAAAAATATGAAGTCTTGATTATGGGGACAAGCTGCCTCAGGCTGGTTTTCTATTAGTCCATTACTGAAAAAGCCGATGCATGGACCAACGTCAGCATCGACATCGCTTGGGAGCCTATAAGAAACGGCCGTTTCCCAAGCCTCTGTGTCAGAATCCACATTTTGGCAAGATGCCTAGGTGATTCCTATGTACATGAATCAACAGTTTGTGACTGGAGAAAAAGTAACGATGATTATATTTTATCGCCTCCTCCCCCACCCCCACCCCGCACACACCCATACCTCCCCACACACACACCAACCACAAAGAGGGGGAAAAATGTTTTTATATGGGGACCACTGGGACAAAAACATGACCATGTGGAGGGTGTGGGTGTAAGCCCTCCCCTGGGTCCCGTGTAGGTTGGTGCTGGGCCAACTATACTTTTTTCCTCTTCTTTAAGATGTAAATCACATGTAAAGCCAAGGCCACTATCGGTCCTAAGATGTATTGCTTTGCATTCATGCTGTCTCTCTGTTGAGTCCATTCGACTCAGAGTAACCTGTAGCACGGAGTAGAGCCGCCCCATCAGGCTCCTAGGCTGCAGTCTCTGTGGAAGCAGACTGCTGCATCTTCCCCGTGGGATAGCGAGTGAGTCTGAACTGCCTCCCTGGGGTTAGCAACCGAGTGCTTAACCATAGCACTACCAGGGCCCCCTTTGCACCTGCGGCTCCCCACATGGACTACTTAGGGGCATTACAGGACACGATGCCTCTTCGGAGCAGAAACTGATGTGAACACTGACAGATCGTGTGTTGCTCTGCTCTCTAGGGCACGTCGGGGCTCCTCTGCCCTGCAACCATATCAAGCTCGTTGATGTGGAGGAGCTGAACTACTGGGCCAAAAACGGAGAGGGAGAGGTAAACTGAGTCATTTGGTCGTTCGTGTCTGTGGGGGCTACGTGTAGTGAGCAAAATTTACAAAACCAAACTAAAACAAGACCATGAATGTGGAATTATTTTCTTTTCATTTTTATGGGTAAAGTTGTTCAAAATAACTGCTTGAGTGAACTCTTAACTGATCCAGCATCTCCTCTACTGTTTTTTGAGCCACCCAAACCCTAAGTCTGGGACTGGGCTGGTCTAAGTCAAGTTGACATTTTCAAGCTCTTTAAAAACAATCTACATCCCCTCTGGCTGTGGCATGGCCTGCTGCTCTGGCTTATGTAGTCTCTGCCACCCGAGACATGTCCATTTGTGGGTAGGCTAAATGGAGCAGCTAAAGCCGGGCGGGGGTGGAGCAGGGGGGGATGGGAAAGCTGCCCACCTGGTAGCTTCTCTGGTAGATGAGCCACTGTGTTAGGCTGAGTATTAGGCTCATATATACATGACTTTATATCAACTTATTTTTTAAAAGAGAAGAAGCAATTCCATATCAAGGCTTCCCAGCCCATTCTAACTCAAACACATACGGCTGATGTCATTCTGTAAGTCCCTCTTAAGACTTGGGTAGCTGCATGCCAATGACACAGAGCAGTGAAGTGGGATGCAGGCAGATCAGAGGCCAGTAGGTGCAGAGTCACGTGGATCCAGCGTTGAGGGAAACATAGCAGGGTGCCCCATGTGGGGCCGCTCCCTGGAGTCACAGTGAAGTCCGAGGGAGGAGAGCACAGAGTGTCCAAGAAGAGAGAAGGAACTTTCCAGTTTCTCCCTAATAACAAAGACACACACACACACACACAAAAGGAGGCATCATCAGGTTGTGACCCGACTCACAGATTGAACTCCGCCCCTGCACTTTCATACAAACTCAAGTCAACATAGAATCATCCAGCTGCCACAGCCACCCTGGATATCTGTGATGTGCCCCTTCCAGGGTCACAAAGCAGCATGTGCCAAGGTCCAGTGGCTTCCTGAGGAGGGAGAGATGGTGGGGACCTGGCATGGCCAGTGCTGGAAGGCCACCTGGAAAGATGGGAGGATGCTGCTTGAGAGAAGGCGGAAGACAGTTCAGACAACTGGTGGCTGTCCCTGCCCTCCATGTCCATCACTGTAGTTGCCACAGGAATTTCCTGAGGAGCAGTGTCCATTAGTCTACGCATCTTGTGACTGCCTCGTGCCACTTCCACTCCCTGCATGGTGGGCGGAGACAAACTCCGTGTTTGTCCCCACAGATATGCGTGAGAGGACCAAATGTGTTTAAAGGTTACTTGAAAGATACAGAGAAGACAAAAGAGGCCCTGGACCGTGATGGTTGGCTTCACACTGGAGACATTGGACGATGGCTGCCGGTATGTCTGTATGTGTGTTCGGAACTGTGAACCCCAGACATTTCAGTGGTGCAAAAGGTTAACAGAGGGGCTCCAAAAAGTTCATGGGAAAAACCCAGTCTTTGAATCCCATTTTTCCCACGAACATTGTGACGGTCTCTTGTATATACCACTAATTAAATATGCAAGTACAGCTATGAGGTTATACCAACCCATACAATATTTAGCACAAGGCTTGGCCCAGAGGAGCTAGTTGAGAGCTGTGACCAGGAGGCTCGTATCCCTGATACAGAGGCACCTTTCCCGAGCCTGAGTTGCTGAGGCTTTGGCCAGCCCTGTGGAGGTATCCTGCTCATCCAGGATGTGAGCGGTGCCCCGCCCTCCTCTGAGCTCTCTGGCTTGGGAGCTGACTTGCTCTTGCTTGGATCTGTGTCTTTCTTTGAGAATCATTCATCCTGCAGAGATAAGGATGCATCCCCAGTGTGTTGCTAGACCAGGAACTCTGCTCCCCAGGAAGGAATTTTCCAGCCAAGTGTGGTTGGTACATACTGAGGAGTCACACTTACCTGGGGAAAGGCAGGGGGAAGACAGGCCTCTAGTAGACTGAGCCTCAGGATATGAGTCACGTTCTGGGAGTTGAGAGGAGACTGGAAGAACATTGAATGCAGAGGCACATGCTAATATAGAGATTCACTAGAGGTGATAGGTAAGCAATTCCAACTAAGGGTCCACAAGTGTGGTGCAGAGTGATCTGAGAGGTCTTGGGGCCCTGGGCACTTGTAGAGGGTGGACTGGCCTATTGGCTAAGGGAGCTTATGCTTCAGGGCTCCTCACTCGCATGGGCCACTCCTAAGACTCTTCACCTCGTTTTATACTATGTTTCTTAAAGACGGCTCTCCAAAATTATAAAAGCCTGAAGCCCAGAACACCCTGGACTGGCCACTATTGATTTATCTTGGGTGAGACTGTGTGGGTGTTGTGAGAAACAAGTGGACTGAAGCCCAGAACACCCTGGACCTGTCACTATTGATTTATCTTGGGTGAGAACGTGTGGGTGTTGTGAGAAGCAAGTGGACTGATGGATATAAGAAGCACCTGGCATCATACAGCGTCCGAGGTGGCAGGCAGTCTTTGAGTATCATTTTTCCAAAAGTGCTATTATGTGAGAAGACTGTGTGGTGTAGTGGTTTGGTGTGGGGCTGCAATCCGCACGGCCAGACGTTCAAAACCACTAGCTGTTCTGCAGGAGAAAGATGGGTTCTCTACTCCCATAAACAGTTACTGTCCTAGAATCCCACGGTGGGCGTTGTGCTGAGTCAGCATTGACTCCATGGCACTGAGTTTGGTACTGGGTGTCGGATCGTTAAGGAAGAAGCAGAAGCTTCAAATTCAGAAAGACCTTATGCCTTGGTTCGAATCCTGGTTCTTCTATCTTTTTGGCTGTGTTTCTTGGGAGGAGTTCATTAACCTCTCTGAACCTCCTCCTTCTGATCTTTGACCCGGCGGTGACCCTCCGCAGCTTGGGCTGGTGTCCTGAGCACCAGAGGAACAAGTAGGCAAAGCCTCTGACCTCCAGCCTAGGGTTAGAGCGAAACGGTGCCGTGCTTGCTGCTCTGTTCTGGAGAGATGGCGCGGGCTCTGTGGCTCAAGTGGCTGTAGATGTCCAGTCAGGGGGAGGTGGGAGGAGGGAGGACGGCGAACCCTTCTGCTGGAGGCCCCATTCCATAGCCAGGTTGTCTCAAGGAGGAGAGCTTGCATCCTGCAGGGAGGACAGCCCAGTTTCTGGATCCAGAGCTCAGTGCTGAGGTGGGGACTGGAAGCTTGGAGAGGCATGGGGTGCCGATGGACAGTGAGTAAGTATTTCAGGGAGTGTGTCAGTGCCTGGTTGTGAGGAAAATCCTCACTCACAGTGAGATCTCGGTTGTCCAATACATTCCAAATTCATGTTTGAACATCGAAAAGTTTTGAGAATGAAGCCTATTTTTCCCATAAGAAATAAGGGAAAATGAAATAAATCACTTCATATCACAACAGAGGCAATTAGTCTTTTTGCATATTACTGTCTTGGCTACGCCATCGCCAATTATTTGTTTCTGATTTATCCAAATGAACAGTAACTGTTCAAACTGTTCGATGGTCTGATCTGGGGTTAATCATACTCCACCTCACCCCCACCCCACCCCCAAAAAACCCAACATTGATAATGTCAACTTAGCCATGTGGTGCTCAGCTGCCAAATCAGACAAGTGGTGACCTGATTCCAATTTCACAATGCTTTCTCTCGTTAACTGGAGAGGCTCTCACAGTTTTCCTCCCAGCTTGCCTGCCTGTATGACTCATTTTCTTTGGAGCCATGGGTACGATATTTTAAGAACATAAATGGAAAAAAAAAAGCCCACAATGACAAATGTTTTAGTGCACTATGCCACAAGCACTCTGCGTTGTCTGAGCCGAGGGAGAGAGGCCCACCCAATCATGTGATGGTTTAGTTGACCTTGATCTAGGTGGCTGAAACAACTTTAGTCTCTCACAGCTGTGGAGGGTAGGTGGCGGAGATCAAGGTGTTGGCAGGACTGTGCTCTCAGGAGACACAAGGAATGAAGAAATCGCCCTTGCCTCCTCCGGCTCCTGGGAGTGGCCAGGAGTGCTTGGTGTTCTCCACTGTCACAGCTACTGACACTCCAGTTTCTGCCGCCCTCGCCATCTGGCTGTCTCTGTATCTCTTACCTTCTTAACAGGCGTTAGTCATAGTGGATTGGGGCCTCCTTATTCCAGTGGGACCTCATCTTAACGAATTTTTATCTGCAAAGACTATCTTCAAATAGAGCCCTAGGAAGGACATGCGTATTGAAGGGGTGGCTACTCTCACACCATTACACCCGGGGAACTCAAAAAGGTTGAGGGGAACTGGAGTGGTCAGGGGCCTTGGAGGTCAGGGGTATAAACACTCACTTCTCAGAATTGTAGCTTGCATGCTGAAGAGGTCCTGCCAGGGTAAGAAGGACCAGCTTGTCAAGTGGGAGACCCTGAGGGACTCTCTGGGGCGGTGCTCTATGCTGGGGATGAGGGGCTGCTGCTTGGGGGTGGAAGCAGTAGCTGGAGTGAGGCGCCTAAGTAAAGCTGAGGATGCTGGTGAGAAAAGGGACAGCTGAGCAAGAGAAAAAGCCTGGTTGGAGGGTGGGGGGACGGAGAAAGTGGAGGTGGCGCTTTCCAAGGAGCAGGAAGGGA